GCAGGAATGGAGGTGGGGTTGGCAATTATTCAGAAGCTGATGATTGTCTGGAAACTCCCAATGATCCGATACCATCTTCACTGGAAAAAGGTCATATTTGCAGAACTGGACACGAGTTATCTAAATAAATGGCTTCATTGTAATTTTAAATTCAAGCTGCTTGTCGGCAAGGGGAATGCATCCGGAAAAAATGAATTAATGATGCACTAACTTGGTGCTTTTATGTGTTTGTTGACGATTGACTTGAACTCTTAATTTATAATTCTGAACCTGACGAGAAAATGTTATCCTCTGGAACGCTTGTAAACAAGATCCATTTTCCTAAAATCCACCCTTCACGTGGCGTTTAGAGATTGCTCGAGTGTTGCAGTGTGATGAACTACACTTGCCCACAAAGATCACTTTCCCACATGTTGACATTTGATAAAATTATTCCGTTCCTTGCTCCAAAGCGCATCGCTAGCTACGAGAGTGTTTGTTTCAGGCCAGTTTAAATGCACTCAAATCGCATCAGTGTATCAAAGGAACAATAAAAAAAAAGCCCTGGTATTTAAAGAAATTTTCCTGTAATTTTTCAAGAAAAAGATTTCCACCCTTGCACTCTCTACCCCTCTCTCTCTCTCTCTCTCTCTGCTTTCAAAACTCTGCTTTAAAAACCCGAAAGGCACCTCTTTGACTGTGCCTTTGGTAATCTGCCTCGTAACCTCCTCACCCCACGTCTCGCACCTTGTTGGGGTTCCCATGCTAGTCTCTGTGAAGCGCTTTGAGACACTTAACTATGCGAAAGGCATTCTATAATAATCCTCGCATTTGATATAGCATCGTTGAGGTGGCTCAAAGTGCTTCCCAAAACATACTGTAGAGTGAATTGTATTTTGTGGGCGAAATGTGGCTGCCAATTGCGCGCAGCAGTTTCCCACAAACAGTCGTGGACTGAGATTTTTTTTCCCAGCGGAGTGCGTTGACTGAAAAATAACGCTGCCAGTGCCATCCATACAGGATCTGTGGGGTTAACTCGCAGTGTGTACAGTGACTGCATCTGAGCTGTAATGAAGGTAGATTGAAAGATTTGACTTAGCTGATGAAAGGTTTAACGGCACACCCTGGTTACCCAAGGATGGGTAATGTTGAGCTGCTGCTGCAAACAATTCTTGTTTATAAGTAAACAGAACCCTGTGTAAACAGGTTGTCCGCCTGCACCGAGGGCTGATTTCATGGTGGGCAGCAGCTGATGTATGTTATGTACAAAATCACCACTTGTATAAATGTCAGTGGATGAAAGAAGACTGACTGGTTGTTTGTCTTAAGTTCTTCCCACTGTTTATTCTAGCCACAATGCATTGCCCGACCTTGATTCCCTAAGAATGGCCCCTTTCTCCCTCCTGAATCTGTTTACATTGTCTTGGCTGAGTGTCACCTACAGAATCTGTTGATTATTCCACCTGGTTAATGTTAAATTGGGTCTTGCAAGATGATGTGTTTGTTCATGGACACAAATGCTGGCACATTGTTTACTGTAGCTATGGCAGCAATCAGTTATTAAACAAATATACCTCTGTTTACGGGTGCGAGCAGCAGTTTATCCTGTATGGTTGGACGAAACTTAATGCAGTGTTTTGATAAAGAAGAGGGCGCTTGTCCATGGAATGCAGCTCAGGCAGATTTGGGTTTGCTTTCCTTATCGGAGACTTGAGTGAAGGGGCTCGTAGATTAGCAGGTTGTTTAGTTCCTGCACTAGATTTCCTTAAGAGTGGAATGGTATCTATGCAGTTGTTTGCTTTCTCTACTCCTCCTCCTCCTCTCCCCCCCTCCCCGCACACACACACAAAAAAAAACGGGTGGGGAAGAAAGAGAGAGAGAGAGAGAGATGAACATGAGTGTTCTCGTTGGGCTGGTGCATCAGATAGACAGAAAGTTCTTTGTCCAACAAATGCTGAGTTAACAGGCCTCTGGCGGAAAGGTGCAGCAGTGTGTGTGCTTGCGAGGGTGGGTGGGTGCGAGGGTGGGTGGGGGGCAGGTGACAATATCATTAGTTTGGTTCCCAGTGGTGTTTGGTAAACAAGTTTCGAAAACCTGAACAGAGACGTGCCCGTGTCATTGTTCTGGATGCTGTTGTTGTTTTCAGGATATTTGTTGTGCATTTAAACCTGACAGAACCTGTTAGCGTTGGCAGCAGAATGCTGGGCCGGTTCAGAGATAAGGAGAAAAGTACAAGCCTTGTGACCTTGACAATTCATACATGTTTTGTCAATCGAGGGCTTTTTTTCCCCTATTAATTAATGCATATTTTTTTTTACTGCTAGATGAGTATTGCAAGAAATCACATATTTTTATCTTCCATAATGCTGAAACTCACATTATGCATTGGAAATGATAAAACATTTATCATTTTTACCAACAGGTAATATACATAATTTATGCTGTTTTAGTGCTACCCTTTTTTGATATTCATGATGGATAACACTTAAGATTTCTTCTCGATATTGCGGCATGGTATTACGCTACAGTAAAATTAATGAGAAGGTAGATTTATGAGTTTCATTTGTTTGTCGATTCAAAAATTAATTGAGTGTTAATTTTAGCTGTTCCTCATCAGAATAGGTACTTAGCATTATTCTGCATTCATTGTGGGCTACCTTCAGTTTATTGTGGGTCAGTAGTTTTGCATACATTGAAATAGCCTTTAGGCTCATTCTCTTGATTACTTTTTAGCTGCCGTGCATTAGAAAATTTACTCCTTCCCTTTTATAATTGTGAAAATTCATTATGGGGCGACAGTGCATGCATAATATCAGCAGACCAGCATGTACTGTGGTATTATTTTTAAACGGCATTACAGATGCATCGTGTTTAGATAATTTTGTTTCTGGTGCATGGGTTTGGTAACGCTCTTTACTATTTAGCATTTTCTGTCACACGGCATTTGGAATTGTTTTAATTTAGAATCGTTGTCAGTTGGGTTTTATTAGTCCCATTCTGGTTCCAGTGACTGAGCTTCCCACAGGAGTAAGCATGTGATATTATAAATCTGTGTTTAGTTCAATTTTCACTTCCTTTGATGATTAGGCAGAGTGTTTTAAGGGCATTTTTTCTGCTTCATATAAATAATTGATCAGTTAAGTTAATTCATTTCAGCCTGACTTGGTCAACCTTCATTAACTGTCCTGGAATAAAGACTTCTCTTCTTGTTAGCTGAGCAACTTCCCCCAAAAAGGTTAATTCATCAAAGTAAAGAGTTACAGTCTGGTTTTGATCACGCAAGTACATCACTATCAAGGTGTGAAGTAGTCAGCCGCCTGCCAACCGCCAAAGGCAAACCAAAGTTAACAGTCGGTAGATCTTTTGTCAGACTGATTAGTTTTATTTCTTGTGTAAAGCTCTGCCATGCTTCCCCATACCCAGCCTTTGCAAAACACTCCACGGAGTCAATTTGAAATACTGATGAAATGGCACAAGGAAAGACATTTTTCTGCCCTCTCAGCCTATTGTTTGATATCGCCGGTACCAATCATCCACGTGTGAGCTTATCAAACGGCCATTTGTGGGACATCGCTGTGCGGGCAAATTGTCTGCAGCATTCGGCCGCAAACACACAGCCGCTACACTTCACAGTTTAAAAACCCTGTGAAGTGCTCTGAGACGTCTCGATGACGCTCTGTATCAAATGCAACTGTTATTATTGTAAAGACATTCCCTTACATTATTACATTTTTAAATACATTACATAAATATATACATTAAGTAACATGAGGCATTTGATTTACACAGCTGCTAATACTTGTCTTGCATTTGACACAGTGCCTTCTATCCAGATGTCTCAAAGTGATTATTGGAAGGTGTCGTGACTGTGCATCTGTAGGTGAACACAATGGCAAAAGTAATGAGACAGATGCTTCTCATTGGCACATATTTAAACCAACATGAACGACTGATGAATTTATCTTTAAAAATTCAAGATTGGTTAAACTTAAAATGTCTGGGTAGTTGGGTTAAATTATTATCCACTGCTTTTATTCGAGGGGGCGGTGGGGGCGGAACTGGCTCAATAACTGCCCCAGGCTCCACACTCCCATCAAACCCAGTACCTGCCAGGCTCCACTGGCTGCCTGTTTCAGAACGGATCAATTTAAAGATCCTCACTTTCAAATCATTTCACACCAGGGCACCTCTCCACCTCTCCGATCCGCTCACACTCCACCCCACTACCCGCCACCTTTGCTCAGTCTTCTGCATGTCCCTCGTCCGCTCCCATCGTTGACTGTCGTTCTTTCAGCCACAGTCCCCCGAATCTTTGGAACACACTGCTTCAATCCTTCCATCTTGCCCCCTCTTTGCCCCTCTTCAAATCACGACTGGAGACTTTCCTCTTTAGTCACCTCCCTCCCCTGTGTTTCCAGCTCTGTATCAGATCACACTGCTATCAAGCGATCTGAGACAAGACCTGCTTGAAGGGCGCTATATAAATGCGTGTTGTTGTTGTTGTAGTTCTACTACTTCCACAGATCTTAAATATAGCTTTAAAAATGCACTGCTCCTTTTTCCATTATGTTGGATTTTAATTCTGTCGTGGAGCACAAGCATTGAATAAAGCTTAAGTCAATGGAAACAAAACCTCACGCGGAATTTAAATGTTTCATGGGTCCGTTTTCACTGAAAAATCCAGTGAAATTAATCCCCATAAAATAGCACATTTCAGCATGTAGATGTTTATCCAGTGCTGCTTTTCTTTATCTGATCGTGTTTTAAATCTAACCTATCGGGCAAATAGAGATAATGTTGACTCATACACAAACACACACATGTGTGTGTGTGTATATATATTCATTTTTTTAAAAAAACTACACAATAACTAAAAAATCTTGTTGTTGTAAAAAATGAAATGGAAGTTGTTTTAAAAAAAAATTTTTTTCCTCAACACGTTGCCAGCTCACAGCAAATAAAACCCTCCACCGAATACGAAACCAGTGTTTTAACAGCTGTTGTCTTTAAATATTTTTCAGGTTTTTGAGTCATGATGCAAGAATCTGGAACTGAGGTGGCAAATAACGGTTCACCTAATCAGAACAGGGCTAGCAGTGGGAACCACTACTCAGACAGTAGCGTGAGGGACGGGAGGTCAAATGGTGACATATCCTCCATTGAAGTGACCACCGCCGATATCATCCATCTCCAACAGCAACAGGTACGGTCAATGCTACAAATTCTGCCCGTCGATGCAGAATGAGGGCAGCCCAGACACGTCAGCCAGTGCAGGCGTGCAGGTTGTTACTTGAAAATGAACGTACTTAAGAGAATTGCAGTCATGCTGAATTCATTACTGCAGTAGTCACACAAAACCATGGATAAAATTTCAATAACTGCAGGCCACAGTTGAGTAAACAGTTGCACTGAAACTTAATTCCTGTTGACTTTTCCTCATTCTTTGCCAGGGGCAGATTCTGATTTGCTGTGCAGAGACAACAGGGTACAGCTTTGATTAATGTGGAGGACCAGAACAGGCGGAGGGAGAATAGTTAACAAAAAAGGATTTGAAAAGTTTGCTCGGTTGTCAGAAAACTGTATTTTATTCGAAAATTAACTAATAATAAAAATGACAATCCTTTCCTTTGATACAACGCCTTTCACCTCAGAAGGATGTCTCACAGTATTTACCATAAAGTGCATTGAGTGTACTTTATAGGTGAATTTTTGGTCTAATGAAACGCAAATGAAAAAGCAGAGGTTGACATCTAGGTGAGCTGTGAATCACACAACCTTTAATTTTTCTGCTTCTTATTTTACTTTGTGCTTAGACAAGGTATTCTTAGTTGCTTTTTCCTCCCCTCCCTCCCATCACCACAAATTAAAAAAAACCTTTTGTTCAAAAAGGTTTTAGTTCAAATGATTGAAGCGCTTCCAAGTAGGGACGAGAGGTAATGGCCACGATGTGTTGCAGTCAGAAGCGTGGTAATTCAAATTGTCTCCAGTCTTACATAAACTGTATTTTTTTTTCTGGATATGGATCCAAATTCCTTACCTGCTGAAAGGAAAGTCGTCGTTTTCTTGTCTCTCCAACAAAGCAGCGTTGGCTGAATGTTTGTGGCCACAAGAAAAGGCAGGGAGGGGCAATTTGTACTCAGCCCACGGAGAGCAAAACAAAAGTACCATATTTTCAATTGTTTATTTTCCACGAGCAACTTAAGTGTTTTTTCTGTACTTTCTTGCACGTTGGATGATTTGTAAGGAATAATTGCAGTCCCCAAGTGCTCCATTGTGCAGCACCAGTCCACACACTTCTGTGTCCAAGCAGAGAAAGTATAACCAGACTCCAGCAATTTCCTGTATTGCTGCCCACCATCAGCTACTGTCGAACCTAAACGTCGACAGTGCGTGTCACAGATTATTCGATAGTGGTATCCTTAGTCTCGCCTGTGCCACAGTCCAGCATGACCAAGTGGATAAAGACACTGCATCAAGCCATATGGGCAGAAGGTTGCAGGTGTGAATGCTGTACCGTTGGCTGATTTCAGCTTTAACTGCTACAGTTGACTACAATATTGTATAAGTTTAGATGTAAAACGGGTGATTATTGTCGGAGGTAAAATGTGATCGAGATGTATCCAATGGGAAAACATACAGAAGGTTAAAAGCCCAGAGAGGAATGATGATGAGGGGGAGAGAGAGAGCGAGAGAGAGAGCGAGAGGCTGTGGGCGTACAATTAAGTTAAACCTTTTCAAGTGGAAAATATGTGACACCTCTCAAATAAAATGAAAACAACGTGGTGTCAGAAGTAAACTAATAGACACCGAGAGAAAGTTAGTGAGAAAGATCAAAGAAATACTGGCCAGGAGGTGGGAGGAGGTGGTAAGCGACTATAGGCCGCAGTTCAGTTCAGTTCAGAAGAGTTGGAAGAAATTGCAAAAGAATGCTATTTCAAACACACAACTTGACCCACCCTAAATTATGTTCTGGGGAATAGATTTGTGGAACGAATGGTTGCACGAGGCCAAGAAGGTGATTTAAAAAAACGTAAAAGAAGATGGAGAGGATCTCCTATCAGAATACAGGAATAATAATAATATAATAATGCTTGCTTTTAATATAGCGCCTTATCATGTCTTCGAGACATCTCACAGCGCTTCACAGAATATACTGTCAAGTGAATTGACTATTTTGTGGACGAATACTCTGATAAGGCAAGGAACAAATTCTCATGGCAAGGAGATTGAGTAGCAGACCACCGATGGCATCCAGCCAGGAATAATGAAGTAGACAATGGTCCCCAATGGAAGGAAGAACAACAGAAGAGAAAAAGAGAGAGAGAAAGAGAGGAGACTGTGGGTCTACAATAAATTTGAAACCTTTTCAAGTTCTGAGTGGAAGGTATTTTCATTGCATTTGAGAAGAGCCTCACAACACACAATATTAAGGAAGGGAAAATGACCCGGCTCCACTGGAAGATCATTGTGTGGACACTGAATGAGGGTTAGGCCATGCTGGACTTTGGCATTGGTGAGCGTTAGGTCAGGCAGGACTCAGGATACACAAGCGAATAGTCCGTCACACTCACTGTCAAAGCACAATAGCTACAATATACATATATTATAATAGTGCCTTTTACACCGTGTTGACATCTCAAAGCACTTTGCATAGCTGGAGAGGGGGAGAGGAGGTGGGTGTTTGCGCAATTGAAACAATAGGTCTTGAGGTGTGTTTTGAAGGCAGTAAGCGCGGGGAGGGTGGGGGCAGGGTGTAAGGAATCTGGAATGGATCGCCAGAGAGAGGGTCACAAACTCAAATACAATATAAACTCAGAAGTGACCAGTGGCCACTTGGGTGAGGGTAACATGCACCAACATGTTTAGCAAAGGAGGGGCAGGGACAGTTGTCTGAAAGATGAAATGCCTGTGTCTGGCACACGCCTCGGCTCTGATGTCAGCCGTACCTTATTGCTTTGTACTAAGGAAAAGCCCTTTACACCATATGTGCCCTGAGTCACCCACAAGTGCAAGTGTTTGACTAATTGGATACAGTGTAGTGGATACTGTGGCCATATGCAATGTAACCGGTAACCAAGTCCAATTCAGTTCAGAGTGATCCGATCCACGTATAATCCAAAGGGGATTTGACTGATAGTGACAGCAAAGCTCGAGGGAGATCGACAACTGTTCCCCTTTTAACGAAGTAGAAAGAACTCGCAATCTATTGAATGTATAGTGGACTTGAGCCTTTTTGAAACACGTTTAGAATTACTGCTATTTCTATGGAAATTCCTTTCCCTTTAGTGTTGGTTACCTGAGGTTGAGATGTTTTTTAGAAAGCTGAGGAAGAAGAATGGTATTTCACTCCAGTCAATACTCTGGATCCCATGAAAAGGGGCCCTTGACCAGAGGATATGAAGGGCCGTGATATATTTTCTCTCACATGAAAGATTATCGCATTTTAAATCATCACACTGGGTTATATTACAATTCAGGAACTGCTAAGGTGTGTGATCTTTTGCACAATCAATGGTAAATTGAACAAAGATCAGAATTTGGTGCAAGAAGCCCCCAAGGGTGTTGGAAAATATAGCATTGGAAATGCCTATCGGGTCTGCCACAAGAGGGCCACAGAGAAGGGTCTTTATTTTCTTCCCAAGTACAAAAGAGCTGAGTGATGTAGAGGCTATTACTAAAGCCTCTTCCAGCCATGGCATCAAACAATCATTCTCATCAGAGAAAAATGTATGTATGGCTCTGCAGCTCTGTCCCTGAGCGTCTGAGATGTATGATTTTCATCCTAGCCTTCTGTTTCAGGCGTGCTGCCGCAGGTTGTCGCAAATTTGTTCTGCGCCGCTTGCAATATTGCACCTTGCTCGTATCACTGTTCTAGGAAAAATAAACACTGGTATTTTGCAATTGCTAGAGTTTATTGACAAATAGTGCTGAAAAGGCAGAATTCAAATGCTGGTAAAGTGCATATACAGGCAGTCTGATGGATCTGAAGTGTACTTGACTTAGTACTGTGCTTTATTAATAAAAGGTTACCAGATGACTGTTTTTATAGAATGCTATAATGCTGCTATTGTATGTGCCAGTTTACGCTGGTCTTTTTATTTACAGGGCAAAAGGAGAAAAAGCAGCGCACGTGAGCTGTGTTCCAGTTTAAGCTGCTAAATGCCAGAGAATTGCTTGCTTTGTGAGCCAGGGCCCTTTTTACACAGGAGTATTGAATTCAATTTGGATCTGTTGATCTAAACTAACTTCAGTCCTTCCCCAAGCATTTTTAATTGCGCTCTGCCTCAAAGGAGCCATGTGTTGGAAGGCCCTTGTGAAACACTGCCAGAGAAAAGGGGAGATCAGCTGAAATTGCGAGGGTTACATCAGCCTGGTTTCAGATCAGTTCACTTCAGAAGGCGTTCTGAGCTGAAGAGTAACTTGACTTCTTTGCCCATTTTGTACCTGTTTCCAAGATGGTTTTCTGCTTATATCTCCCACCCCAGCTATAAATGCAGACTCCCCTTTGAGTTTCTACTGTTGGATTTATACAGTCTTCAATTTTTGACCCGACTATAACGGAACAGGGAGAATACGCTGGACATGTCTTGAGTTTCCTCACTTTGGCTCAGTTTGGGATTTTGTTGGACTAGTCTGCTGCTTTGATAATACTCCTCGTATTTTGATAGAGGTCCATATCACGTTGTGGAGACATCTGAAAGAGGTTTACAGGATTTTTCGGAGAGGTGACTGTGTACTTTATAGACAAACACAGCAGGCAATTTGTGCAATTTTATTTGGGGGATTGTAGGCCAGAACAGCGGGAGAAATCCCCATCTCTTTTCAAGCAGTGCTGTGTGGGGGGATCTGTAACGTCCACCTGAGAGCAGACGGGACATTGGTAAAACGTCTAATCTGAAGCACGCCACCTCCGACAATGCAGTTCTCCCCCTCCCCTCACTCCCCTTTCAAAGTTCTGATGTGGGACTCAAAGCCCCCACCTTGTGACTCCGAGGCAATAGTGTTACCGACTGAGCCAGGCTGACAGCTTCCTGGATCTCGAGCACAACCCGCTCCATTCAAAACTTCACTTGTGGCGTCAGTGACAAGGATCTCCAGGAAAAAAAATCAGCCGTTCCCACGTGGATTTGCACGTGTCCTGGCAAAAGTCATGCAAATCTGATGCAAATCCTGCTGTTTTTCCTTATCAGTAGGTTTTTTTTA